CTAGGATTTTGCATCAATGTAACCACGTATAACCCTTAAACTTGGGCATGGTAAATAATGAAACTTCTTGTGTAGGCTTATCTTATATAAATTCTAATTTGAAATTAAAAAGCGTATAATATATTATACCTTAGAGAATAACTGAAATAAAAACTTAACGCCCATGACCAAAACAGCTCAGGTTCGAAATCGGAATTAGCAGCCATTGATTGCAGTTGAATTGCTATCTCGTATATGCTGCTGAATGCTCAATACCTGATGCATGATCTATTTACACGCTCTGTGAACTGCCTGATTTCTATCAGTAATCAATTCCTACGATAAAAGCCTCCGGCGACCGTCACCGCGAGTTCCACGAGACCCTTTACTTCTCAGTCTTATTATAATTCCAAAATTCTGCTGCCAATTGAAAAGCAGTTGGGAAGGCATATACCAATTCCAGAGAACCTATTAATGTGCCCACGACGTAAAATCTGTGGTAAAATAAACAGGTAAGTTCCAGGCTACTAGTAATAAAGCAAAATAGGCGATTCATCAGCAATTATGTAGTCGTGGCCGAGTGGTTAAGGCGATAGACTTGAAATCTGTTGGGATATCCCCGCGCAGGTTCAAATCCTGCCGACTACGACTCTTGTTATTCCGGAAGATGTTCATATAACACGAGAAATTGCCACTAGGTGGAATTCCGTTTCAAAAAAAAAACCAGTCAGAGTAGTTAAAATTTCCAATACCTGATGTGAAATGGTTAATATTAAATCCTTTTAACACAAGTGGTAAAATTTATATGCATTCTGATTCGGTTACTAAAATTGTAAATAAACATATGGTGATTGGACTAAAGCGAAATTACCTCTTGTCAAAAGGACCTTTATTCAGAAATTATTGCTCCTTTATTAGGATCTCTATTCTAGGACCTTTATTCTAGGATCTCTCCTATATACTGGGACCTTTATTCAGAAATTATAGACTCGTTTTCAACAGCAAAATGGGATGTTTTCCGCAAGCACGAATTGACGGAAGTCTCTTAAACCTTAGTTTTTCATGTTATATACCGGAATTTTTTTAAATTACCGAAAGATAATGAACGGGTTGGATTCCCGTGCAAGCCCAATTGCCCTCAAAACTTGAAATTTTTTCGGGATTGAGTTTCTTTCTTTCAAAAAAAAGGCAGTGTTGAACTCAAATTGGAATCTCCCGATAAAACGTTTCCCATGCAGTATCAATCCTCTCAACATACATGCAAGGAGGAGATCTAGTATGCATGAATGTAGACGTTGTCTACATTCGGTCGTAGTCGGCAGGATTTGAACCTGCGCGGGAATATCCCAACAGATTTCGAGTCTGTCGCCTTAACCACTCGGCCACGACTACATAATTGCCTGTTGAACCGCAATGATGAAAAAGCACTATAAAACACAAATAAGTATTATGGAAATTGATTTCCAAAAGAACGAATCGTAAACATTGTTCACTATTGTTACAAAAATCCAATCACAAAACTCATTTATATTAGGTAGATACTTATTGAGTTTAAGTGGAAAATGTGAAGAGCCTCGTCAGAGATTCGAACTCCAGACCCCTCGTTTACTAGACCAGTGCTCTAACCACTGAGCTAATGAGGCACATGGAAAACACTCGTGGTCACTGTTGATATGATTACATTGATGCAAATTCTTAGCCCACAATGCAACACAGTATTCTTATTAGGTTGATACTTAAATTAAGTTGAGAGAGTGCATCTAATGTTGGAACGGGAACACGTACCACTTTTTTTCACAAGAAAATACAGCTTAGTCATTAACTAGACCATTGGCAAATTGTTGTTAAGGCCGTTCTCTTTGAAGCTAGACGGGCAAACAGGCCATGGTTTATGGGCCCAGCACGCTTCCACTGCCACACCCTGCTTGCTACAGCACTGCTTCTATGCCATGGATATATACACAGATCTGTATTTTCTTTTAATTAGTTGTGCTTTTCCGAATAAGTTAAGAAAAGCGGGAAATGTTCTTACAGGTATCTAAGAAAATATCAGCGCATGCCGGTATGCACGATCGGGGAGTATAGTTTCTGAGTTCAGGCTTTTCTCCTACACTCATTTAAGAAAAATTACCTTTCTGAACAAAAAATGACACCTAGAATGTGCACTGAAAAATATTTTTATTGAAATGACAACTTTAGCGGGAAATGGTTTCGATCCATTGACGTCTAGGTAATGGGCCCAGCACGCTTCCACTGCGCCACCCTGCTTGCTACACACTGCTTCTATGCCATGAATATTAAACTTGTGCTATTTCGAATAAGGTAAGAACGGCAGGAAATGTTCTTTCAGGTACCTAGGAGAATAGCATCAGACAGGTATGCACGATCAGGGAGTGTAGCTCAGTGGTAGAGCATTCGACTGCAGATCGAGAGGTCAGTGGTTCAACTCCGCTCGCGTACTAATTAGTGAATTAAAAAACCCAATTTATTTTCGTTGTAACAATCCGTTTGCTTGATAAATAATCCTTGCAGTTTAGTTTTTTTTCAATGACTCTCTGGGACACATGCATGTTCTATAAATTTGTAAAACGGAAGTCCATACCTGGAATACAGGGAATATAATTACTTTATCTTAATAATGTGCGTGTATAGATATACTGTAGAGCCAGGAATTTTCTCAGTAATTTTTCTAGGTGTTTATGTCCTGTGGTGTAATGTTAGCCCTTCGGACTCTGAATACGATTAAATATATACAGGGTGTCAAAAAAAACGCAACCACTTAATATTCTAAAATTCATATTGTTCATAAGCTCAATAGATTTTATGCCCCTGGGATTTTAAAATGGCTTCTAATCGTACAGTTCAACTGCTAATAGTCAAATCAGCTAAACTAATAATGGTGCAGCTAACAACCGAACAACAAGTTTTTATTGTCGTGCATGATAACTTGAATCCTAACTGTCGACCTTGTAAAATAAATTGTAAATAAAATTTCACTCGTTAAATACTTTCAATTCAGCTCGTTGGTTTACGCAGCCGACTTTGTTTACCGACGATTGTGCTGCTAGAATATGATTACAAGCTTTCTCGCATTCCAGGGGCCAAACGTCTTTTGTGTTGTAGAACAAAGAGGATATTCATGAATATTAAGTGTTGCGTTTTTTTTGATACACCCTGTAGTTGCCATAGTTAATAGCTATAGTTGCATATAATTTACAAAAGTATGACAACAAGAGCCTCATCAGAGAGTTGAACTCTGGACCCCTGGGGCCGGTTGTTCGAAATGTGGATAAGTCGCTATCCAACGGATAAGTCGCTATCCAACGAATAAGTTTTATCCAGCGTGTGATTTGTGTCGCACGAAGCTTGGATAACTTTATCCAGCGGATAAAAATCGCTATCTACCGGATAAATTTATCCAAGGTCCGGAGGTGGTTTAAATCCACTATCCAGTGGATAAATTCAAAGATACAAGGTAACACTGTAAACATTTATATAAAATAGGACAAAAATGCCATATTCCTGTTACTGTGTTTCAACAAACTAATACACATCATGATTGTATTCACCATTAAAAATGTTTTCGAAGTGCAATTTGTCGCAGCAGCGTTTCACGTTGCCTACACATTCCGTTCCGAGCGGCGATTTTTTGGAGATCCTCGCATTTATAACAGGCGGTAAATTTACTATACGCTTCTAATCAGTTTATAAACGCGAATATGCAAAGAAAGATTCAACCTATTCCAAGGAAACTTGCTAATATCTAAGTAATTTCATTCACGAACATTAAAATAGTGTTCCTAAATTTGCTATGGAACCGAAAGGCAAAGCATTGCATGCAAGGTCAAGGAATAAAATTGCAATGTGTTTGATTAATAAAATCACTATGATGTGAAGTGCAAAGTTCGAGCAAATCACTTGTTCAAGTCTTTTCCATTCAGTAACTATACTCGAGAATTCGTAATGATTATGAATTCAATGTTGTAAATGCTTAGCAACAGCTGACGTTGTGGTACGAAATTTCAGGATAATCCTGTTTTCTTCCGGTAGATTTTACCTTATCTATTGGATAGCTATCCACTTCACTATCCACGCTTCGTGCAACGCGTTTTTATCCAATGGATAACTATCCACTGGATAGCAGATTTATCCGTTGGATAGGACTTATCTGTTGGATAAGTTATCCATCTTTCGAACAACCGGCCCCTGGTTTACAAGACCAGTGCTCTAACCACTGAGCTAATGAAGCGCACGTACAAGCTAACGCGAATATTGTTGCTTATCTTATAATGTGCACGCATCAAATTATGCTTTAAGGGTGTATAAAAAAAAGGTAATCCAACTTTGGCGCGCTATTGTACGTGAACTACTCATTCCAGCAAATGAATTTTTTTCACATTCGGAAAGGTTAGGCTTTTAGTTAACTATCGAATGACATGTTTTTAATACCAAATGATGAAAAAATGAGAAAAATAGGAGGCTGATAAAAAGTGTTAGTAAAAATCGCATATTCTCACCTCTGAGAGTTGGGACTAAAACCATTGAAAATTAACTCCCTTTAGGACTTAATTGAAGAATTTTGCTTCCGAATAAACTACCCGCCAATGCATGGTATTAAAGTAGGAACAAATCACATCAGGAGAACATTCCAAGCAATTAATGTGCCGGCGATGTTAACTTTTTATCGATAGAGATGGTGGTCAAGTTGAAGGCATGACGCATATAATCTCTTTTTAAAAGTGTGAATGTAAATAATCGCAATAAACATGTTGTAAAACCAGTGCAAGCTGTAACATGTTCGTGATTAATTGTTTCTGTTCTTTTTTATGCCCTGCTTTGATTAGATTCAAAGGTGAAAATATGCGATTGTGACTAAAGTTTTTTATCAGCCTCGTATGTTCTCACTTTTCACCATTTGCTATTAAAAGCATATCTTTCGATAGATAGAAGCCAGAGGAGGTTGGACAAGCGATTAGAAAATTAAAACGTGAGTTCTCAAACTAACGAGATCACCCTATTTTCGCCCTATTTTCCGGTGGGCGACAAAAAATACCCTTAGGCATATTGTGTTGTTAGCTCCTCCACGGCAACCTTTAGTAAAAGGCGAAAGATTTTTTCGTAGGAGAACCAAGGTTTGGAAACTTGGGTGCTTGTCAGTGCTGTATAAACGAAATAGTTTCACTTTTGGAACACGGTAGTCACGGAAGTGCGCGCGCAATGTTATCAATTGTGACGAATATAATTGTTTTTATAATTAGCAGTTGCTCAAACAATTGTGCCATTTTGGTTTGATATAATATGGCGTGATCAATAGCCTTCTGCCAGGAAACATTGGGAATTCCGATTACGCCAGCTGTTGATCTCGTACACTTTTGATAAACACCCGCCTGAAAAATCCGGCGGGCGACAAAAAATACCCTTTGGCCCAATGTGTTGTTCTCCTCCACGGAAATCTTTAGTAAAAGGCGAAAGATTTTTTCGTATAAATGAAAAAGAACCAAGGCTTGGAAACTTCGGTGCTTGTCAGTGCTGTATAAACGAAATAGTTCGCTTTTGGGACGCGGTAATCACGGAAGTGCGCGTGCAATGTCATCAATTGTGACGAATATAATTGTTTTACTTGCCACGCGAATTCTTGCCAACGGAAGAACCAAATATTTCAATTTTTTGTTAATAGATTATCCGAAGTACCTTTTCTTCTGCTGTTTTTGCTTTTGAAAGCTGTCCAGATCGTGCATACCTGTGTGATCAATGTAATCATATGAACAGTGTCCACACTTGTTTTTTACACGTGCCTCATTAGCTCAGTTTAGAGCTCTGGGGCCGGTTGTATCAATCCCGTTTAGCTTTAACGGTGGATAAGTCAAAATTAAATCTCTTAATTAAACACTCCTACATCTCTCTTGAATGAGTCAACTTGAATATTATGCACTTAATATTTGGTTGTAAACAGTATACATTTAGTTTGCTTGTTGAATGAAACGACTGACTTGCTTTCTATTTTGAACCTAACCAACGTTTAAGCTAAACGAGCTTGATACAACCGGCCCCTGGTCTCGTAAACCAGGGGTCCGGAGTTCGAATCTCTGACGAGCTCTTCACATTTTCCACTTAAACTCAATAATATGAACGACTTTTGTGATTGACTTTTTGTAACAATAGTGAACTGCAATGTTTATGATTCGTTCTTTCAGAAATCAATTCCTATAAACTTTGCTTTGTGTTTTATTGTGTTTTTTTTTATCATTGCCAATCAACTGGCAATTATGTAGTCGTGGCTGAGTGGTTAAGGCGACAGGCTCGAAATCAGTTGGATATTCCCGCGCAGGTTCAAATCCTGCCGACTACGAGTCTGTTATCTCGAAAGATTTCATAACACGGAAAAATTTTTTGCCAGCGGGTGGAATTTCGTCTTATACCATACGATATATTTTTGGCATTTTTTAGGGAAAGACAATCAGAGTAGTCAAAATTTTTAAAACTTGGTGTAAAATGGTAAATACTGTACCCTTTTAACCGAAGTAGTCAAATTTACGCATTCTGATTCGGTTACTAAAAATGTAAACAAACATGCTGTTTGGTCTAGAGCGAAATTGCCTCTTCTTATAAGGAACTCTATTCAGAAATTATTTCTCCTTTATAGCTCGCTTTTAAGAGTATAATATTAGGCTGTTTGCCGCACGAGTCAACGGAACTTTAATTTTTCATTTACCGTTATGCCGGAATTTTTGATAAATTACCGTAAGCTACTGCACTTTTTTCGCTTGGTGCAGGAACACGGATTCGATTCCCGTGCAAGCCCTGATTGCCCTCCCAAATTTTTCAAAGATTGAGTTTCCTTCTTCAAAACAAAAAGCAGTGTTGATCTCCCCATAAAACGTTGATCCCATGCAGTGGCAATCCCACATAGAAAAATACAACGAGGAGATATACTATGCATGCACAAATGTATTCATAGTAAAGAAATGTCATCCATGAAGACGTTGTCATTCATTTTACAAGAACTGAACATCGGAAAATATGCAGAATTAACTTGGAAGGGATAACTATTTTTTGACGATGATTCGTTTTTACAATTGTAAAAGCGTCATGTGTATGCCTTATTGTCTGAATGGTTAGAGCACTGGTCTCGTAAACCAGAGGTCCGGTGTTCAACTCTCTGATAAGATTTCCCCCGTTCTTACCTTATTCGGAATAGCGCCAATGATAAGAAAATATCTATCTGCGTATATATTCATAGCACCAGGGCAGTGTGTAGCACGCAGGGTATAAATATAAATATTATTTTTAAAAATATTACGAAAAACTTTTAATGCGAAGCAACGGTTTTCTGAAGAATGATTTGAGATCCAAAGATCTAATCCCCCAGTTGCTGCCTTTCCTTACATCTTTCGAGCAATCGGTAAACGATAGATCACTCTTTACGAAATTAAAAATAAATTTCTGAGTTTGATTCGTGTAGCATGGGACCTAATTTATGGGTGTAATTTGAAAATATGTTTCTTACAGCGGAGTAACATGATTGCCGAAATTGACGACATTACGTGGCGTTGTGCTGGTGGTTCAGTGGTAGAATTCTCGCCTGCCACGCGGAAGACCGGGGTTCGATTCTCCGCTAGCGCATAAAATTCCCCTCGGATGCATTGTCCTGATCAATAACACCCATCATTTGGTTTCTTTTTCACACTTTTTGTGGGGTACCAAAATTATCAGAATAAAAGGGTAATTTTTAAAAAAACGACACTGTTACACAAGGCATAGCAAGTTCCCAAGTGGTCTAGTGGCTAGGATCTGGCGTTTTCACCGCCATTGCCCGGGTTCGATTCCCGGCGTGGGAAATCCGTTTTCATAATTATCCGGCAAAAGAGCCGTTTACGGCAATACATTTAACACCTGAATGAATATTATTGCAGGACACGAACACTGACAAGAATATGAAGAATCGCAGTTCATCGAATTTGTTAAAAAGGAAATTGATATTTTGAACGAATAAAGTTGAGTTGCGTTTTCGAGAATTTAATGTGTTTTTAATTGATTACATATGGAAAAAATATGGAGGATGCGGACATCGATCCCGCTACCTCGCGCATGCAAAGCGCGCGCTCTCTTATTTGCTCTAATCCCTCACAGCCGCCCTAACGCATTGAAATCCATTTTTACAATGACACATATCTTTTTTTTTTACATTGGATTTCTGAAACAAACTATTTGTTAAAACCGCAAAATGAAAGCGTTATTTTCAATATTTTGTAGACATACCAAGCTAACAAGCAAAATATTTCAAATTAGTTCCTGCCGAAACCTGGGATTGAACCAAGGACCTTCAGATCTTCAGTCTGACGCTCTCCTACCTGAGCTATTTAGGCATACAACTCAGAACGACTATTCATATTCTTCAGGCGTTTTCGATCATCCACCTAGTTTCCTAGCTGGACACAACAACGGAGCATACTGGGCAATTTTAAAATGTCAGGTTATGGTAAATATGGATGCATTTAATAAATCTCTACTCTATTGCCAGTATATCAATTTGACATAGGCAAGTAAAATATTTATCAAAATATTTTCCATGCAACTGTCTTTCGAAGCGGATTTGAACCAGTGATTTAGGGATGTTTGCTTATCTACAGTCCCCCAATCTACTAACTGATCTATCGAAGGCTGACAACGGTCAGCTTCATTATTGATCAATGAGTATTTGTCATACAATTAATAATTCCGTTAATTAGAATTTTGATAATATTATTGAAAACTTAGGTATAAATATTATTTTTAAAAATATTACGAAAAACTTTTAATGCAAAGCAACGGTTTTCTGAAGAATGATTTGAGATCCAAAGCGTAAAATTTTCGAGGATGCGGGCGTTGATCCCGCTACCTCGCCAATGCTATGCGCGCGCTCTACCATTTGAGCTAATCCCCCAGTTGCTGCCTTTCCGTACATGTTTTCTAGCAATCGGTAAAAGATAGATCACTCTTTACGAAATTAAAAATATAATTTCTGAGCTTGATTCGTGTAGCATGGGACCTAAGAAGTAAGGGGCAATTTTGAAAAAAAACGACACTGTTACTTAAGGCATAGCAAGTTCCCATGTGGTCTAGTGGCTAGGATCTGGCGTTTTCACCGCCATGGCCCGGGTTCGATTCCCGGCGTGGGAAATCCGTTTTCATAATTACCCGGCAAAAAGAGCCGTTTACGGCAATACATTTAACACCTTAATGAGTATTATTGCAGGACACGAACACTGACAAGGATAGGAAGACTCGCGTTTCATCGAGTTTGTTAAAAAGGAAATTGATATTTTGAACGAATAAAGTTGAGTTGCGTTTTCGAGAACCTAATGTGTTTTTAATTGATTATATATGGAAAAAATATGGAGGATGCGAGCATCGATCCCGCTACCTCGCGCATGCAATGTGCGCGCTCTTGCATTTGAGCTAATCCCTCACAGCAGCCGTAAAACATTGAAATCCATTGTTACAATAACACATATCTTTTTGGGGGTTTTTAACATTTAATTATCCAAACAAACTATTTGCTAAAACCGCAAAATAAAAGCTTTATTTTCAACATTTTGCAGACATACTAAGCTATCCGGAAAAGTAATTTTATTTCATTTTAGTTCATTCTCCATTGCCAGTATATCAATTTGACATATGCAGTAAAATATTTTTCAAAATATTTTCCATGCAACTATCCTTCGAACCGGATTTAAAACAGCCACGTAGAGATGTTTGCTTGCTTATCTTCTACACCACGCTCTGCCAACTGAGCTATCGAAGTCTGATAACGGCCAGCTTCATTATTGATCAATAAGTATTTGTCATAATTATAATTGTTAATTCTATTAATTAGAATTTTGATAATGTTATTAAAAACTTAGGTATATAAATTATATCATTTTTAAAAATATTACGAATGCAAAGTAACGGTTTTCTGAAGAATGATTTGAGATCCAAAGCGTAATATTTTGGAGGATGCGGGCGTCGATCCCGCAACCTCGCGTATGCTATACAGGGAATATAATTACTTTATCTTAAAAATGTGCGTGCATAGATATACTGTAGAGCCAGAAGATTCTCAGTACTTTTTCTAGGTGTTTATGTCCTATGGTGTAATGGTTTATTACTTCGGGCTC